ACACTGTACCAAATCCACCTTGCCCAAGCTTGTTGGCTTCATCAAAAGAAGCAGTTGCTTTCTCAAGCGTGGAATATTTGAAGTTCAAGCTGCTGTCATGCAGGGTCCTCACCAGTTTTTCTGCATCACTGGAACCTGGAATTACAGAGAAACTTCACATTATTGAGATTGAGAGCCTACATTCTACAGAATGCTCGGAAAAAATTATTCAAAAATCTTGAAGTACAAAAAGTGCAAAATGATGCAATAAGGTATTGTGATGCCGTTGTTAACAATTCTAATGTAGTGTAATTTCTCAATGCTTATGATCGAATAACTGCCTTTTACAGCTGACATTTCACACTTAATATAGACTAAATATTTCTACCTTTCCTCTTCTTCTCTATTGTTTTGTGATTCCAGATGTAAAATCCAATGACAGCTCCAACAATCAAAACAAGTACTGCACTAGCTACTGAGACGACAATACCTATTACTTTCCCTGCAGAAGTCAGTTGAAAATTCATGATCAGGCCAGATAGATAAAAATTTAAAATATTTAACTAGATAAAAATTTAAAATATTTAACTCCTTAAGCAACATAATAACTTCCTTTAAAATTCAAAAACAGGGAAGAAACAAAAAAATTACCGGGGAAATGATAACTGAGGTTCCCAACCTATGCAAAATATAAAAAGCAAGTCTTTGAGATTTATTTTTTTCACGTGTGGTTTCCCAACTTTTCATTTTTGTAGCAAATCCTCGGTTTCTTTTCAGTTAACCTTTATAAAATCACATGACTACATGTTTGTATACCCTTCTCCCTACACCCTGCTGCTCTTTCCCCCCAACTTGCTACATTTCTTGTAGGTTCGAGAATGAAGTTGTGATTTTTCCAAAATACAGAGAAAAGGGAAGAAGAAAAAACTTCAACCTTCAAAATTTAAGAGCTTTCACAATAAAGAGAGAGAAGATTTACAATAGAATTTCCAGGGAGAAGATCATAAAGTTCGTTTTACCTCTTGAACTTCCATTTCTCGGTATAGGATTAAGAAAGTTGGTTTCAGAGTACCTAACGAAGCACCCTGTATTCAAAACCCGGCCCTCAGACCATGGCAAGCATCCCAATATAGATGCAGATGCATTCTGCAAACAAGCTCTGCAAGAACTAGCACTAAGAGTCCTCCAGCAGTTAGCAAGAACATAAGCTGATTCATTTGTTCTGGACACAGGCACTTGAGCCCGTGCAAAGCCGTTGTTGTTTGGTGCAGCTGAAACTGCTTGTACCACAGCCTGCCTTGCTGAATTCTGAAATGCAGAACTCTTTTGGGTTCTATTATCACAGATTGCCGTGTCAATTGGTCCAGCATACTCTTGATCGAAACTGTAATTCTGAACTCGCATGAAGCAGCCATCTAGGAAAATCCTTCCACCGTTGTTAGGAAAGCACTGAGGAAGAATAGTGCGCATTTCAGCATAGCATAATACGCAGTCAGATAAAGAAAGATCATCATAGCATTGTGCTAGTCCATAATTAGCATCAGGTCCTGAACCCACTACTGCCCTGCCAAAACCCGAAGTTCGCATCTGCACACTTATGTTCTCCATTACGTCAACAAAGTTCAGGACGAAAATGGAGGAGTTGTGCTCACGTTGGTTCCCGCACATGAGCCGAACAATCTGAGTTCTTGGCTCCCCCAATGATGCGTCTGGTGATAGCAAAGTCACAAGAATAATGATGATAGCAGTTGGACTGAGAATGGATTCCTTCATTTTCTGAATTGATTTTGTCTTCCAATCGTCTGTTATAGGCAGTGTTCAGTTCAAAATCTAAGATAAAAAATTACAAAAATCAAGATACTCATAGAATATTGAAAAGATACTCGAGCATATTATAAATTATAGTTGAAACAACACAACTGACTTTAACAAGGGAAAATGGCAAATTAACTATTTGCTGGAGTCTTGACTTTCTTAAGTAAATACTTCAATGATCATTAACTTCTTCAATGCCTTTTCATTCAGCAGTAAAAGCATGATCAACATAAAGAACTAGATAGGATAGGATTATTGTATAGCCAGATTAATGAAGATGAAGAAGAGATAAAAAGGTGTGAAAACCAAGCAGCTAATCAAGAATTCGCCTTCAAAGAGAAGAATAAAGCTCTTTGCTAGAAAAGTTTTGACATGTAGGTTGATATACACTCACATGTGGTGGGACCTGCGTGGGATCCGCTTGAATAAAAAATGTCAAAAAAAGTGCACCCACCCCCCTCCATTGTGAGTATATGTCAGGGAGGATCCTCCCTGGCAACATGGCTTGGTCTGAAAGAAAGAGACTCATTATGCAACAAGTCAAAAAGGTGTATCAAAAATATTTATGCAGTCATTTGGATCTATGATAACAAAACCAGATGGAGACTTTACATTTTCAACCCACCGAAAATTCCCTCAACCTTTCAGATTTCATCAAAAATCATTTTCTTGGTAGAAAGGTCAAATTTTAGATGAAAAACACAGATGTCATTTGTTTAGTATCATATCTTTGTACGAGAGAAAAAGCTGCAGAAAGTAAGGCCATAAATTGGATTAAAGATTGATGAATAATGCAATATGGAAAACGATGTCAATGCTGATAATGACACCTCAACAGAAAATCAAGACCCCACTTCAACTACACTTAGAATTAGTAGCCAGGAGCCAACTCAATCCATAAAAACTTTCACTCCACGACAAGATATTTGCATAAAATATACAGCCACTACAAAGAAAAATCCAGACATTTAATTTAACATTCAAGCAAATAGTCAATATTTAAATTTATAAAAAAAGGGAAAGTGATGTACCTTACACAAACTTACACCTCAGTTTTGAATTTTGAGGCAGTATTCAAAGACTTAAAGTCTTATAAATATAAAATCTATACTCAATTCTTCGGATTAGCACCTAATCATGTTGACAATATAACTTATATTCATTTGTCAAAATTTATAAAATTTTACTAAAACAACAAATAGAAATTAAAAACATATTTTCTACTTTTATTTTTCTTAAATTTTCAGATGAGTATTCATATTCTTATATGAATACTGTGAGTGATAATTTTAATTATAAGAACCAAATGCCTGAGGATTCTAGAAGAAAAAGCTACTACATTTACTAAGAACAAAGTAGCATTTGAGCTTAACACCAAAAAAAAAAGTAATAATAATAATAAATAAATAAATAAAAAGATAAGAGAGAGGGAGAGAAGATTATCAAACAGTAGCAACCAATCAAATCACATAATTGTTCGACTTCGAGAAGCCAGAAACATCGAGAACACAAAAACCGAAAGAGATCAAACGAACCCAGCAAAAATTCAGAGAAAAAAACATGCCAATAAGCTCAAAAATACTAAAAGATACCACCTTCTTCACACGGGCAGCTGAAGTTTATCGTTTTGATTCTAAAACTTATCGACCCTTGGCTTCTTCACATCTATGAGATCGAAGAAAATGAAAATATGAAAGAAGTTATGAAGAAGAACAAACGATTGACTGAATTTTGAAGGGATTTCCATTTTTTTGTTCCAAATGACTGTTATATAAAACGCGGTTCAGAAACGAGTTTTCTCTGTCTACAAGTCTAACATTTGTGGGGTCGTTTTGACAGTTGATCGAATTATTCAAGAGGAAATTAATTAATTAATACGAATTTACAAATTGATTAAGGATATGGCTAGATAGATAAATCTCTTTGTTAATATTTTTTGAACCATTTTCCAGTACAAATTTGGCTCGACTGCTTGGATCGAGTTTAGAGTTTAGACGAGTACCATCTAGATAGTCGTCTTAGAATATGAACTTCGTTGTTGTACTTGATTTTGTTAACACATGATACTTTTGAACGTGCATTTTATTTAAATAATTTAATAAATAATTAAATTCAGTAGAGTATAACCGATTTGTTTAGAATAAACGAGGTCAATTATTCATTTTTGAAATGAAATCATAGCTTTTCATTAGAGTAATGTTATTCTTAGTTGCTCACAGCGACAGTCACCCTACGTGGCATACACATGACAGGTGATTATTTGATACATTAATGTAGTAATTTTTTTATTCATTAATGCATCAAATAACTACATGTCATGCATATATCACATAGGACGACTATTGCAGTGAGCGACTGCAAATAGCATTATTCTTTTTTGTATGTGGAATAATATTTCATACTCATGAGAGGATTAATTTTTGTATGTGAAGGTTCAAGTCTGTCGACATCACAAGAAGTTAACTAAATGAAATATATTTGGAGAACGAAAATTTGCGATAATGATAAAAAATGTACAACTTAATTATACTTTTAAACAGAAATATGTGTACAAGTGGTACATTCTCGTAAATGAAGCTTATTGATAGTTTTGACCATACACGGAGAAATCTTCTTCATTATATATAATAAAGGAACTTCCCCAGGAAAAAAAATAAAAAAGTTACAACAAAATTTATACGTACTTATATCGCCTAGAGTTATATTTCCTTGTTCATTACCAACCATCTTAGATCATACACAAAAACACCATTTAGGTTGTAAAATTAAACATATTTAGCTTAAATTTAAAGAAGCTCTAGTCAATAAAAGTGTGACAATCTCGTCAAAACAAACGTGAAACGTAAAGAAAAAAGGATAAACCAAAACTTAACGTGTCTTGTTAACAAATATTAAGAGCGTAGTTGCTCAAGGATTTTACGACTTATACATAAAAAATGTACATAATGCATTACATAATATGATGTGGGGGAAAAGATTGGATAAAAAAGTTAATTATGTTTTAAATTAACAAATGGTAGAGTGTCATGTTGCATCATGAAACCCCATTATGTAAATCTTAATATACATGTAGCAAGATCCATTGCTCAAAGTGTTGGAGTATAAGTAACAACGAACCAGGATGGGCAATAATAATTTATACCACCAATCTTGAATTTGTAGAAACAAAGAAGTTTGTTCTTAAATCTCTTAAAAAACAGCCAAGCTTTAAAACCATGATTATATTTACTTGTATGAGCAAGTCAGCTTCTATGTCTATGGGGTCACTTGTATGCGTTATTTGGTATCAGAAGCTCAACATTGCAATAGTATGACAACTTCGAAAGTTTTCTGGTATTTGGAGATTGGAGAAGAGCACGTCTTATCGAGGTTCTTCTCTTTCTTCCCTTTCAGAGACTGTTCCTTATGCTCTCCCTTCATATGTGCCTTTGACAGAGCCATATTTGGCCTCTATTTTCATCAATGATGTAACTAGATTAGATCTGGTCGAGTTGGGAGAGTAAGTTGGTAAAACAGTTTTATCGGAGATCTTTAACTTGCATTCTCGAAATAAAGTATATGCGGACCTCATCAGAATCTATATTGCAGGTTTTCCATCTCGACATGAATTAGCAGAACTAAAAAATAAATACACAAAGACCAGGAAAAACAACTTCTTCATATACACGTTACCCATGCAGTTAATATACAAGTTCATATAAGGCAACTCACACACACAGAGAGACAGAGAAAGAGAGAGGGATTACCCCCGAGTTTGGATCATCAAATAGATATGGATTGTCCAGAAGTTCTCGAGAGGAGACTTTCTAAGATTTTGATTGCTGTTTCTGATGCTCTTTCATCATTTTAACAGTTATCGCTACCACCCCACTAAGAACAACAGCCAACTATCTGATTCCCCCAAAAAATTGATTCTGGCTACATAAATCCTTTTTCCCTATCCCATTCGGTTCTTTGTCACCTTTACTAGAAGATCCATTGAAAATTTACAGTGATACGCTCAATGTTTGTTTGTCCTACCATCCAGTCTATTCACGTGATGTTAGTAGCAGATAAAAAGACAAATATAGCCTTCAATTTGTGGCATTGAGACTTGAAGGGAATCCACAAAAGCATCATTCATCACCATGAATTTTACTGAATTCAGGACATGGACAAATAGCCTTCAGCATTATTGAAAGTACTACTTCAGTGCTACAGAAAGTGCTTATGTATGAATCTTGGGAACAACCTTGTCGAGTTTCATTAACAACTCATCACATGAAACACCACCACTTTCCAATTTCTCTTGGGCAAAATTTGGTAGAAGCTCCACAATGTTTTGATCGTCAGAAGTATCACATAGAAACTTCATGATAGTTGAAGTGATTTCTGAGTAACAGTGCCTCAGACCCCATTTTTCGAAGTAAACCTATAATTTCTTCTGTTTTACCCTGTGCACTGAATCCCTTTATCAATGAATCATAAACAGAGATGTCCACTGAGAAGCCACATGCAGTCATTCTCTCAAACATCTCTTTAGCCTCTTCCACCAGTCCTAATCTTGATAACCTATGAATCAACATCGAAAAGGTAAAAGCATCAGGAGTCAAACCCCTTCTACTCATATCATTAAGTAGCTCATTGGCAAACTGAACATCCCCAGCCTTTATTGCTGAATCGACTGTGATATTATATGAGATAACATCTGGTTGAACTCTTCCATCAACCATCTCTTTAAACAACCTCTTTGCTTGCTCGAAACTACCCTCTCTGCACAAGGATGCCATCAATGTATTGTAGTCAGGCAGCGTAGGCATAAGACCTAAGGATCTCATTTTACTAAACAACCCTTTTGCAATGTTTATGATGTTACTTTTGCAAAATCCATCAATCATGACGCTGTAAGTCCGTGAATCAGGAATCAAGCTCAGTTGTAAAACCTCCTTCCACAGTTCCATAGCTTTTCCAACATTTCCTTCCTTCAGATAAGCTCCAATTAGTGCAGTATATGTCACCACATCACCAACTTTCTTACGCTTAACCATCTCACGATTAATTTTTGCAGCCTCGTAAAGACAGCCTTCTCTACAGAGCCCGTGGATCAACACGCTGATCGTTCAAGCATCTGGGTCAACATAATTCTTATTTGACAGCATCGAATCAAAAAGTTTCAGAGCATAGTTGATGTTCCCAACATCACAAAGTCCCCTCATAATCACATTGTAAGTGATCACATCAGGCTTCTTCCCCTTCTCCACCATCATTTCAAGTATCTTGAAAGCATCACTTAACAAACCTTCCTTGCATAATCCATTAATTAGAATGTTATATGTTCTGTTATTAGGCTCTTCACCCTTTTCCAGCATGAAATTAAACAGCTCCACCGCTTTTGCAATCTTCCCATCCTTGCAAAGCCCACTTATCAAACCTGTGAAGGTAATAACATCAGGACGAATTCCACGCTCCAACATAGTATTGAAAAAAACCTTGGCTTCCTTCATTCTTCCCATCTTACAAAGACCATTCATCAAGCACGTATACGTAACTTCATTAGGAGAGATTTCTTTTTCCAACATCTCGTTCAAAAGTTCCTTCCCTCTATCAACATCGTCATTAGTGCAGAGTCCATTTATAAGTGTGTTATATATATAAACATCCGGCTCCAACTGCTTCATCCTCATTTCCTCCAACAATCCCATTGCTTCATCAGTCTGACCCTTCACACAAAAACCATCCATCAGAATAGTGTAAGTAACCACGTTAGGAACACAATTAGCATGTTCCATCTTACTCCTCATATTTATAGCTTCATCCAAATTCCTCACCCTGCACAATCCTGAAAGATGAAGATAAAATGCACCTGGCTTATTGTAGACATAAAATAAATAAATATAAAAAATGAATTTGGTCGATTTAAATCATTAGCCCAATTAAATTAAAATCTACTAAAATCTAACAGCCCATCTCACTTTTTCGATAAAAAAATCATAATTACTCAATTATTTCTTTTAATTAAATATAATTGAGTGGTTACCAAAATTAGCACGAATTTTCCCTATAAATAGGACCAAAGATCCATGAAATGGGAGAAGAAGTGAAAAGTACAGAAGATGATTTCGAAGTATTGAAGAAATCCCAAAGTCTGAGGAAAAGAAAAAATCATCTCAAGTCTAAGTTCAGAGAACACGGAAAAGATCAAAATCTTCTTTAAATTAAGCAAGTTCAAGTCAAGTATAGTGCTTGTTTGGTAGGAATTTTAATAATTAATTTTTTGACCGTTAGAGATAAAGTATGTCCTATTTGTTATAAAAGAATTCAAAAATAACGGCTGAAATAGAGAAATAACGATCAAAAAATTAATTTTAATTCGCCTAAAGCTGTACCAAACAAGCACATAACAAGATCAGAATCTTCTTCAAATCAAATTAAATTTAAATCGAAGTTCAAACCCCAAGTTCCAAGTATCGAACAAGTCAAGTTCTCAACAAATCAAATTTTCAACAAATTCTCGAAGGCTAGGATTCAAGCCAAGTGGGCCCTCATCTTCAAACATTCAGATCATTAATCAGAAGATTTTTACAATTTTGCAATCACAAGAAAATTAATATCCACTCGTATTTCTCAAAATATAATTTGTAACGATTTTTATATTTTAATACACGAAATTTGTCGTGCACTTATTATTCTCTTCTCATTATTGTTCATTATCATTTTTATTTATTAGTTGTTTGCGGGTATATTCTAATAGTTTTTAGAAGTTTAAGAATTCGGGTGTAATTTCAATTTAAGTTGCATATTTCAATTGAGCTTAAAGTTTTCAATTTTTGTTCATTACACATAGTACTTGTGTCCCTATGTTTTTTAATTGACTTCTTATATTCAATATTACATGAATCGGCACCTTTCAACCTTGATGATGATTTTGTTCAAAATATTATATTCCTCATTCGAGATTAAAATCCTCACTTACCACTTCATTTAATGAAAAAAAGATAAATTGAAAACCATAAAAAATTTAAAAATAATCTTCAAGATGAATTAGAAAAATTCCGGATAAAACCTTGTTTACTACTGTCGCGCAATATTATTTGGCATCTCTAGGATTAGGTACACTAGTCCAAGGCCAATTGGTTTCCCCTGTACAAGATAATTGTAAATTGAGGAAAAAAAAAATCATAATTAAGAATTTAAGTATTACACATTTTAAAATTAAGAAAACAAGTTTCAAACTTAAAAAATTAGATTTTTCTTAAAATTTATTTATGATTTAATTAATTAAATATATTTAGGTTACAATTCTATACAATTTGGTCACAAATTAACGATTTATTTAGTCACTTATATTTTTTTTTGTCACAAATCAGAAATTTTATTTCACAAATTATTTTACGATCACAATTCAATAATTTTATAGGCCACAATTTGTTCGTCGATCATAATTAATGGACTTATTTCATGAGCAACAATATTATTAGCAGCAAAAAAAAATAAGAACTCATGTTTAAAATGAACCAAATAAGTGCTTCTTTGGTATGAATTGGATCCTACTTGTGAGAGACGAATTCAAAAATGACGATTGAAATAGTGAAATAACGGTCAAAAAATTAATTTTAATTGGATTTTAAACTGTACCAAACATGCTCAACTAAACCAAGAGCCAAATGGTCTTACATAACTAAGAACTCAAAGGTGTTGAAGTCAGGCTCATCGCTACCAATTAAATAAAAAGAAAGAAGAGTGGTATAACTTGAATAACTGATTTTCACACACAGAACCCTCCTCTCTCACACATACACGCACGTTGAATTTTTCCTTTGACAACACATGACTATTACGTGCATGTACAACTGAACTTTTCTACTTCTTCCCCTATATATTTGCAACACATTTGCATTATCCAAACTTGGTTTCCTATCCTAATTTCGTACTTTAACCTAATTCAGATTTCAACGAAATCAAATAACCATGTCGAAACTGCCTGTGGAAGTGGATTTCTTCCGCATGGAGAGGGAGAGGAACGAGCCTCCCATTTCTGTACGCAAAAGACGCTTTCGTGGTTTGTATTTCAATAATTTTTAACTTTTGAACAAATTATTGATTTCATGTTATTATATTATTTTTATTCTTTTTTGTGGGAGTGTAGACATACAAGGTATTGTTTCCAGGCTTAATCCGCAGATTGTGAAGACTGTCATTCAATCTGCTTCTTTTGGTCCGAATGAACCTATTCAGACTATTTCCTCACCATTGAGGTATGTATATTGATTATTTTTACTGCGTGTTTGTAATTTCTAGTTTTTATCAGACATTTTCCTTTTTTGCTAGGCCGAGTTATGGTCTCTACAACAGTGCTGAAACTGAAAAAATGACCATTGTGTACAATGGGAAAGTCTTTGATTTTGATCTTTCTGCACTCAAGGTCTGTCTGTCTGTCTCTTACGTTTTTAATCCAATTTCTTTTGCCTTTTGCACTTCCATTCATCATAGTGAATTTACAGGTGCACAATATTCTGAAAATTGCTGCTGAGGAAAAACTCTCAAAATCTGCTGAATCTACGGAGACCGAAGTTTTACAGATTTTGTGTGAACAAGATCTTTCAGAAAGTTAGTGTTATCAACCCTTTTTTCCTTCGAAAATTATTATTATCATATATTTTATAAAATTTTGGTTTCTTTCTTCTGGAATATGGATCTAGATCTTCCCATGGCTAGGAGGAAAACTTTGTTGGGGTTCTTGGATAAGCGAAAAGGGAGGTGATGTGATGTTGCTTCTTAGCTTATTGTAAAGTGTTGTGCTTGGGGTACATAATTTTGAATCCATAATGATGTCCATACACTCGCATGGGGTGACCCCTACCCCGGATGAGTCTATGACACCCTTATGTACCCAAAATTATATACCAATAGATATATTCTATTGTAAATTCTTGGAAATTGTCTGTACTTTAAATTCTCAAGACTTATCTTCAATTCAACACATACAATCATAGAATGCAACGCTGAATAGTGCATTTAATTGAGATTTTTAAATATTTTAAAAGTTTCAGGGTATTCATTGTAGATCCCCCTAAATTCAATCTTGTTTCTAATATATATGAAAATCGTTTTTTTGTTTTATAGTTCATCAATGATCAAACATACTAGTGGTTGAGCTTTAAGTTAGTTACTGTGTTGGATATGAGATTTTTAAAGATTTTAAAAGTTTCGTAATGATTTTCGTGAATGTTTGCAGGATGGTGTCACCATATAACTGTTCCATGGATTAAGCCAAGCAAAAGACCGATCAATTTGGAATATATTGATCTTGTCTGCCTCTATCTATTTTCAATTTATCCTTTCTTAAATAAATAGCATAATTTAGTTGGAAAGGATGAGAAAAATGTTTTTGGTTTATCCATTTTGGGTATGTTTCCTCCTTTTTCTCATTTTTTTAGGTCGCATCTAGCTAATAACTACCGTCTCACGTTTTTGTGGTGGCTAAGGTTTAACAATCTTTACTCGTATTCTTTTGCTGCGTCTAGTTAATAACTACCGTCCCACGTTTTTGTGTGGCTAAGGTTTAACAATCTTTACTCGTATTCTTTTGTTGCGTCTAGTTAATAACTAGCATCCCATGTTTGTGTGGTGTTTATGTTTAAGAGTCATATGTAATCAAGAGTTGAAGTTAAATAATTTGAAAGGAAATTTGCAGCCATTGTTATTGATTCTTCAACGTGCGCCTTCCATCAATTTGTGACCTTTTAAAGTCTTTAAACTTTAAATTTGTTGAAAGTTGGTCTCTACTTAAAGTTTTTTCTATCAAGTTTGAAAAAGGGAGGATGGATTAGTTATGTCGATAAAGATAGTAAAAGATTGTATGCGATGATAGATGCACTATTGTTATGTATTGTACCCAATGTCATGATTTATATGAATAACTATCTTTTGTTTAATTATCTTTAATATCAACTAAAAATCATTTCTATATTTTTTATTCTGATTAATTGATATATCAGGATTCCTTGCAAACTGTTTTTCCAAATTAGGCCATCAACAAATAATTATCACTATCAAGTGACAATAAATATATTAGAGAAATGATATAGGGTTGACATAAATTTTGAAACGAAAGAAAAATCAGCCACCAATCACATGACAAGTGCAAAATCACTTGCCCTTCGATTACTTGCTTTAAAGCGTGATTCATTAATATATAACATCATTTGCAGGATAATATAATATATAATAATGCTATTTGTAATCGCTGAATACCCCAGTCGTCCTACGTGGCATACACATGATAAGTAGTTATTTGACGTATGAGACAATAAATAACTACCACAATAATGCATTTAATAACTACTTGCCATGTGTATGTCATGTAGGGCAACAATCGTAGTAAGTAATTACAAATAGCATTACTCTATAATATACGAAAGGTACATACCCTAAATTGTAATATGAATAGAATGTATTATATAGAATAATGCATTGACATTCATAGATTTGTTGAAATAAAAATTAGCAAGAAATGCATCGAAATTCTTAGATCCAGAATATAATTCGAAATCCTTGTGTAGTTTTGTTATAGCCATAAGTTATTAATATTATTTGTTATTTACCTCCTTTAAATAAATCAATAGCTATTAGGATTGCTTATCCACAAATTTTTAATTAAGCAGAAAAATGGGCTCACGTGTCCTATGTTTCATAAGATTGTTACGTAACGCTTCACTTAAAGCCAATGTTATTAATCGGACCACAAACGAGCCTCCATCATTGGCAAAAAAGCTGAAGAACCGAAGTCTCTCTCTTTCTCTCGTCCGTCTCTCTGCCTTTGTTGTAATTTTGTGTCTCTAGAAATGAAGCCTCGTTTTCTGCCTCTATATTGGAATGAACTTGGGCTTTTAAGTGGGTTGGGCCCAAATGGACCAAGAAAGGGCAAGTCCCTCAAGTGGAGGGAAAGCGCAACACTTAGGCACCCTCGAAAAAATTTAATATATTTCTTTATTTTCTTGTTTTAGTTCGAATAAAATGTGTTCATGAAACTTTGGTATTAGAACCGAACCAAGAATGGAGTAGAGTATGAATTTATTGCCAATCTCCAAAACACAACATTGTGTCAATTCACTACCTCATCAATTCGAGCCATGGATCGTGCAACTCATAGGCTAGATTAAAATATTTTGATATTATGTATGCTTATATCGAATATTGATAGTCGAGAACAACCGTTAGGAAAGAACTGCCATCGGCCCAATCTTAACAATGTTAACCAACATAGACGACAGTTTGAAAAGCGTGGTGCAATGTTACAATGATATCTTATTATTTGAAGTAATATTTTATTTAAATGTTATTAATTCATCTTCTTTTGGATAAGTTAATGGTTAGGACTTCTTTATCCACCATTTGAGTTTAAGTAGAAAACGGGCTCATGTTACCCTATGTTTTAGGTTGGATGTGCTTTTCAGGTTGTGAGTGTATTTCGGTTGGTTTCAAGTATATGATTATTGGTGGATATGGCAATGATTTTAAATTTCATGGAGATGAAGACGTTACAAGTTTACACAATTTGTTATTAAAACCCATTAACACATAAATAGGCCCAATGTAAAGGGCCCATTCCCAAATCCCCTAATTAAATGCGGCATATCTCGTCTGCCCAAAATTTTTCAGACGAACCTAGAATGCAGTAGCCACTCGCCAATCTCCACTCCAAATCCGAAGTGCTGAAGTCGAAACCCTCCATACTTGCTGTCGGCTCTGCCACCAGGCTTCATGTTATACAATAATAATACTGGGTAACAGAATTAGAAGAATATTGGTGGTAATTGTTATATGGGCTTGTCCAGCCCATGAGGGAAAGAGCCCAATCTTCTCTTATTTTCTTCTAAGTCAACAAAAGTGGCTACACAGATATATATATATATTTGAAAACCTGTTGTTGGCTGGTGGTAATTTCATCATCCTTTTGCTATATGTAGATGACATGTTAATAGTGGGACAAGATGTTCAATTGATTCACAATTTGAAAGTAGATCTGTTCAAGTCGTTTGATACGAAGGATCTTGGACCAGTAAGATAAATTTTGGGGATGTAAGATAAATTTTGGAGATGTATATTCATCATGATAGGAAAATCAGAAAGTTATGATTATCACAGGAGAAATATGTAGAGAGAGTGTTGGAAAGGTTTAACATGAATAATGCTAAATCTATTGGGACACCACTTGGTAGTCACTTCAAACTGTGTAAGGTGATTTGTCCTACTAAGGAGGAAGATAAAGAAAGAATCGCAAAGATTCCTTACTCCTCTGCTGTCGAGAGTTTGATGTATGCCATGGTTTGTACACGACTTGATATTGCTCATGCAGTTAGGTAGTTAGCAAGTTTCTCGTTAATCCCGATAAAGATTATTGGGAGGTTGTGAAATTGATCTTTAGATACTTGAGAGGTACTTCAAAGATATGCTTGGCTTTTGGAGGTTCAAAACCAATTTTGGAGGGTTCTACAAATGCAGATATAGCTGGTGATCTTGATGATAGAAAATCAACTTCAAGGAATTTGATTACTTTTGCAGAGGGATCTATCTATTGACAGTCAAAATTACAAAAGTGTGTTGCCTTATCGACAACAGAGGCTAAGTATATGCAGCAACTGAAGCAATGAAAGAAATGATTTGGATGAAACGGTTTCTCCAAGATTTGTGTTTGAAGCAGGATGTGTATGTAGAGGGTTTTTTCCATGTAAAAAATTTGGTGTTGTGTTTGTTTATTTTTGCTTTGATTATTTACTTGATATTTAATCACTCTAGTTAGTTGCTTGGATTGGTGAACTATTTTCGTAATAAGTGAAATTGCCTAACATTAATTCGAGGTTACCATATCTCCGCTATTACTCTTGTAATTGGATAAAAAAAACTTCGATGCATTGAATTGAGAAAATGACGAGCATAAATAGGCTAGAGACTACTGACCATAAGACGTGGGCATGGCCCTATGACTTGAAAACTAAATAACTAACCCAACAGACTCAAGATAACTACGCATAACAAGGCCACTCGGCCCACTACAGATGACCCAATTACAATGACAAAAGACACGTTACAAATTTAAAAGAAAACAGATATTTCAATGAATACTAAAGGACTCCAACCTAGCTCATAACACTTCAGCTGAGCATTTAAGGTGAATTGTTTTTCTAGATTTTACTGCATCCAGATTATATATATATATGGATGCTGTACTTTGATATTTTTGTGTACTTGAATCATGAATTAGTTTAGGGGTTTAATGTTTAACTTTCGAATTTGAAATAAGAACAGCTACACTAAGCTAAAAAACAACCCATTGAAAGCACTTGGCTCTGTTTAACAAAGCTTTCGATAAAAGTTGTAGTGATTATGATATAAGTTAATGAAATATGTGGTTAAAAAGTTGATAAAAGTTATGGATTAATGAAATTTGTAATTAAAATTAATTATTGATTTTGATCTTAACTTGTCAAGCCATCCAAACAAGTACACAGTGAAATTTTATCTCACCAATAGCTGATTAAACATAATTATATCCTTTTTGACTCATTAGTTATTCAATAAATTTGATCTTAAGCTTAAGTATATGAACTTCATTACTATGGACTAGTTGATTGGATTATATATATTGAACTTTATAGTTTACTTGCAATCTCAAGAAAAACCTCTACTGGAAAGGAAAAAATAATGAAGGCGAAAAACTTTGCTCAAC